TTCTTTCTTTCTTTCTTTCTCCCTCTCTCTTTTTCACTCAATCTCTCTCACACTTTATTTCTCTCTTTCTTTCTTTCTTTCTTTCTTTCTTTCTTTCTTTCTTTCTTTCTTTCTCCACCCCTTTCTTTTTCTCTCTCTCTCTCTCTCTCTCTCTCTCTCTCTCTCTCTCTCTCTCTCTCTCTCTCTCTTTCGGTCTCTTCCGTTCTTTCTTTTTCTCTCTCTCTTTCTCTCTCTCTCCGTCTCATTCTCTCTCTCTCTCTTTTTCTCTCCCTCTCTCTCTCTCTCTCTCTTCTGAAGTGAGCTATAATGAGTATAATGAACTCATTCTTTCTTCAGCCTCTTGTGTTTTTATTTCACTCTGAAATTCTTGGCCTTTTACAACAGCAGAGATGCATTTATTGGAAGGTACTATCCAGAACCACCAGTGAACCAACACGAGTCTTCTGAGTTTATATGGAATGTTGATGATGGTAAAATAGTGGAAATTAAAAATATGTTTTAGGCCAAAACCTTCTCAAAACTTTCATAAACCAATGTCACCATCGTCAGGCTGAGTATTTACAACCATTTCATGTAGAAACTTTCTGTGAGGGAGCTTTTAGAGGTGGACGTCTGGTTCCTATCACCACCACTGTGAACAGTTCTGACTCTGTTTTCATATTTAAGGTTTAATTAAGCAGAAATCTCAGTGGAAAACCCTTTTAATATGTTATACGTTAATATTCTAATATGTTAATGTATTAATAATCCATTTGATTATTGTTTATGTGTCATATATGCAGATCCACCACATTAGCATATGTAATTATTTCATATGTGCTCAGTGATCTGGCTGATGGGCTGATGGACGAGCTGCTGTTTTATCTTGTGATTTTCTGTGGGATTAACCTGACGAGGTATTCAGAGGAGAGATTTTTGTAAACTGCTCTTATCTGATCTCACTGTCAGACGGTCATTTATATTCCTCACAAGGACAGCTGCACTACCCACAATTCCCCGCTCTCACCCAGATAGCCATTGAATTACCGAGCCAACCCCGGCTGTGGCTTCGGGTTGCCTAGCAACGGACTATCGAGTGGCAGAGGGTCCGTGATGATGGAAAGATAAGGACGGGGTGAGATAAGAGGTGTGAGCGCTGATGGTCTGGGCACTTATCTAAAAACTGTCAAAGAAAAAAAACCTTAGGCTATTAGCCTCCAAACCAAAAGCCTCAGTCTTACAGAGTATTTATGAGTGCTTCACACTGATGGTCGGGGCAATTTCTCAGAAAAACGTGTGTGTCATACGGTTTATGTGTGTGTGTGAAGTTTTTGTTTGGGCACTTTACAAAAATCCCTCAAATTCAGCTCTTGGCTGTTAAAGCCATCTGCAGTGCTGTCCACAAATATTGGCACCCCTGGTAAACAGCAAAACTGTCTTTATTGCTTATCATTTTGATCTTTCATTCAAAATATTAACAAAAATTTAAAACTTTATGTGAAGCACAATGATTGAAAGAGAAAACTAAACCTTATGAAATAGTTTTTCTCAACTCTAAGTACTACAAAAAATGGCATCATGTCAAGTGAAATGATCTTAAATCTAGTCAATGCATCTAATATTTCCCATTTTGAGATGTTTGAGCACTTAGTATAAGATTATCTAGTTTATTTCTAGACACTTTTCAGATGTTTTAAGTAATTGTATTAAGTAATATTATCTCACTGTACTGGCAGATAATTTTGCTGGTTTCAAGCACATTTTTTAAAACAAGCAACATTATCTGCCAATATAATGAGAAGTTTACTTAAGAACATTACTTTAAAAAAGTAAAAATGTCTAGAAATAAGGTAAATAATCTTACATTAAACTTACAACAATCTCAACAAGAGAAATATAAGATTTATTGACTATATAAGATCATCTTACTTGACAAGATACCATTTTTTTCAGTGTGTGTGTCAATTCTATGTTCATTTAACACTTTGTGCAGCCTCCTTTCGCAAAGATAACATATAATGCTGAATGAGACTAAAGAACCCATGACAAGGTATTTGAGCGTTCTCCACAAGGAGGAGCTATTAATTCTTTTGTGTGCATCATTGAAAGGGAGGAAACCCACACCAGCAGGATCTCACAGGGGGAGCTATTAACTTTATGTGCATCATTGAAAGGGAGGAAACCCACACCAGCAGATCTCACAAATGAATGTGTTTGTAGTTACAATTTGCATGAAGTAAATTCAATGTTTGAGGTTATAAAGTAAGTATAAATGAAGTAAAAATGTATATGAAGCAAAATGTTTTTTGTTCAAACAGGTCTAGGCTGAACAGCTCAGCAGTCTAACAGGCTAACAGACTAGTCCCGTTCTACTCGGTTAGATTTCACTGTAAAACTACAACATGTAAATTTAAAAAATATACCATTTGAATGTCGGTTACAAGTGTCAAGTGCTTTTTATGTCAGTGTTTAAGTGTCATTTTCAGCTTTGCACTGATGTTAATGTGTTCATGTGTTGCAGATGGTGTGTTCGGACACTGTCTGTTTCCTGGAACAGATGTTTACACCTTCGATGTTTCTCCAGCAGCCCTGCAGCGTCTGAGGAACGTTCTCCAAAAACTGGCCCATCAAGGTAAAATCTCCATATCTGTCTGCATCTTCCCTTGTTTACCTATCATCGCTGTCCAAAGAAAAACAAGTATCTCCGAAATGGCAGCTTTTCAGGAGAGGGCAAAAACTTCCTCACTTTTAATGTAAGTTAATGTAATGAAATTTTATTTCAAGCAATGTTGAAGCATTTCTGATGTTCCATTCATCATGAAATTTTCACTCAACATAAAGGGCAGCTGGTTTTGCTCAAATGATGAACAAAACTGAAATTTGAAAAAAGTAGACGATGATATTTAAACAACATGATTATTGTTCCAACAAACAGAAGACAGAATACACATTCGCCTTTGCTGCAGTGTAATATGTAGCAAACGGTTATTGTGTGTACTACAGAACACAGTTAGTACACATCCTCACCCTTTACACCAGTTACAAACAAGTTAGTAAATACATAAGAAAGCATTAATTAGGACTATTTAAAGTGAATAAGGTAGATATCAGTGAATTCACAGCAGGAAGTGCAGTTAGTAGTTGGTTTTTTTGCACTTCACTCAGACAGACACTGATGTGGTTCTCAAAGCTTTTGCTTTTGTACTTTTAAACACACACAATGCCCATATAAGGAGCTCTGATCTAAGGCATTTTCTTTATGGGAAAAGGTAAAAGGCATTTTTCAAAATATTGTCGTACATTTCGTCCAGTGGATACGTTTATTGATATATTACCTGACATATTTATTTATTTATTTTTTGGATTGGTTAATGCTTTTTTTTAACTATTACATTTACTCTTATGACTATTATTATTACTTTTTTTAGCACTTGATTTGTTTTTACAGTCCAATTTTTTTTTCAATCCCTGTTTTCTGCATTGGCTCAGCTATATTGTAATTGAGGGTCTCCCTCAATGCACTCTGAGTTTAAACAAAGGTTCGTTAATTGATTGATTGATTGATTTTTTTTCTTCAAATATCACCGGATCCTCTGAATTATGAGGTGGTTTAATGATCAAAACACTGCTACATGCAGGCCGACGCTGCTGTGCAGTAAACTGTGCTTCCTGTCTGGCTTTGTTTAATTGTGTTCATTATTGAACACATTAGCAGGTCCACGATTTTCCATGGATTGTCCAGGATTTTCCTGGGTTGCCCAAGTTTTCCTGGATTGTCCAGGTGATCTTTGGATTGTTCAGATTTTTTCTGGGGTGTCCAGGTTTCAATGGATTGTCCAGGTTTTCTTTGGATTGTCCAGAATTTCCTTGGATTGCCTGGGTTTTCCCTGGATTATCCAGAATTTCTTTGGATTGCCTGGGTTTTCCCTGGATTATCCAGAATTTCCTTGGATTGTCTGGGTTTTCCCTGGGATTTTTGTGGACAATCCAACAATTTCCTTTCATGTTGACTCTTTTACATTTATTCTTTTTATTCTGTTTATTCTATTTTGTTTTTTACCTACTTATGTGTCTTATTTTCTATATCTGATAATATCTGATAATATATCTGATAACAGTCTGTGTGCTTGCCTGGTCTGTTTAGTATTTCATACATGAAAAAAAGCATTATTTTCAGATACTAAGTCAATGTTTTGAAATACCGCTGCCAGAGAAGGTGAAGTGGCTTCCACACCTTTTATTGTTATTCTCTGGTGAAACAGATCAACAATCAGCGTTTCCATAGCGATGTGAATTGCGTTCTGAATGTGTGCACATGCTCATAAACTGTCACGGTGCATCCAATAATTAAGCAATGCATGCTCACCAACTACTCAGGGGCCAGATTTTAATCACAGGAGACACAAACATGACAAACTGATCACCAGTGAGACGTTAGGTTTGGCAGGGTTGGACTGCACCACTAGGGGGCCTGTGTGAAGTGTGCAGTGTGTTTTCTTTCCCCTGTTGGCTTTTTTCACTGACCATCTGCTTGCATCTCCAGACTCAGTGCTCAGCTTTAATCCTGCTTTTTCTCCTGTTCTCCTTTATAGTCATGGCTGTGTTTGCTTGCCCTCAGCCTGCTGGCTGTAATCTTATCACCTTTCTCTCTCTCTGTTCTCCTGACCGACCTAACCTTCCATCTTTGGGTCTGGATGCAGTCAGGAGGTTCTGCTTCACTACTGGCTCTCCTAGGTCCCCGTAGGGTGGTTAGACTTTTATCGGCTGTGGTTTTGCCCTGTTTCTTTCTATTGGCGTAAGTCTGATCGTAATGGAAATCTGTGGTCTCTCTTTATCCACTCGCCTAACCACACAGGTCAGCATTAATGGACGTTTGGTGCACAGTGCTGTCACTCAAAGCTCACCACTATCAGATTCCCCACAGGATCAATTCCAGAGGCAAACTGAGCCTTCTGTGCCAGCTCCAGGTGCTAATCGGACGTATTCTTAATGTTGTGCATAAAACTGGCATTAAGGTGGCCACCAGTCCAGGATTTCCCTGGATTGTCTAGGTTTTCCTTGGATTGTCCAGATTTTCCCTAGATTGTCCTGGTTTTTGTTGGATTGTCCAAATTTTCCTTGGATTGTCCAGGTTTTTCCTGGGTTGTCCAAATTTCACTGGATTGTCCAGGTTTTCCTTGGATTGTTCAGATTTTCCCTGGAGTGCAGAGGTTTGCCTGGATTGTTTCCTTGACTTTCCTTGGATTCTCTGGGATTTCCATGGATTGTCCAGGTTTTCCGTGGATTGTCTGGGATTTCTGTGTGTAAAATCAGGAATTTCCTGGACAGGTTTAAGCAAAACTGAGATTACATTCTGTAGCTGAGCTGACATCGATCTACCTTAGACTGCAATGTGTGCAGAGCTACTCATCCATTTAGTAAACATTAAAGCCACTGGTCACAGCCACACTAACCTAAACATGCAGTTTGTGGGCCATGTGCATTAAAGAATGTGTGAGAAGATGCAGCTCAAAATATGTCATGATGTGGCCTCAATATGCGCTTGTAATCTGTGATAATGTTCCCCAGACTCTTATTTCTCAGCCAGAGTAAAATAAGACATGTAACTCTGTGTCCATCACTGCACTGGCTAATTCAGTATAACAGGGGTGGCTGAAATAAGGTTCTGCCTGCAGCACTAAAATCTGTGTATTTCAGTAATGACATAAAAACGTGGGACTGCAATTTTTGAGTATAGTTTTATTTTTCTTCAAAAATGAAACTCATGATAAATCTAAATCTTTCAGCTTCATGTTAAAAGAAATAAAAAAAAATCTTTAAAAAATAATCTGAAAATACCAAAAAAAAGTATTTTCTCAAGTGAGGGAAAATGAGGGAATTGGGTTTGGCACAGATCCCTCCCAATAGACAGAACCCTATAAATGATAATTTTGTGTATATATTTAGCTTATTACTATCTCTATCAATGCCTCTATTAATGCCTTGGGTTCAAATAGATCATAACATAGTCATTGTAAGTCTAAGGCCTGAATACTTCATTGTTTTTGTATTTGTTTTGTTAATGTGGGACTGCAGTTTGAGCTAATTTGGTAGCATGTTCCATATACATGTTTCAGCTCAAACTGATTGTTGAAGAAGAAAATATCAGTTTTTAAAGTAAATGTAAATGTGCCAGTGTGAAGAACCAACAATACCAATGCAGGTCATTTTTTAGCACAAATTAAAAGTTTGCACAAATTGTAAATTATTCATTATTTTTTAGGTAAAGCTTTTAAAGTAAATATTTGATACACTATACTGTCCAAAAGTCAGAGACCACCCTTCATTTATTTAATTTCCAGTCAAAATATTCATAAAGTACAAATGATTTATTTTGCAGGAGATTTTTTGTGGAGATTACATAAAAAAAATAATCCACTTGCATTAAAAGGAAAGTCAAGACAGACTGAAAGCTACAGAGAAAATGGGGCTCCTAACAACCACCTGGAAGACCTGGTAGACACCAAAACTGCCCCCATCAGATAAACAGCACTTAAAGCTTTCATCTCTGAGAGAGAGGAGAAAATCAAGCTGCTTCAGATCTGAAAACATCCACAGGTGTTTCTGTCCATCCTTCCACTGTGAGAAGACGACTCAGCGCTGTGGGTCTGAAAGGATGTGTAGCTGATCAAGAAGAACCTCACTGAGAAAAGGAGACAAAGAAGCTGAACGATGGACTGACCACCCCAGAGTCCAGACCTCAACACCACTGAATGGGTTTGATTACTTCAGAAAATGATCAACCAGCTTCTGAGACTGAACTCTGGAGGTGTGTCTGCAGATTCTTTGAGGAACTGAAAGTGAGTCTCCTGAAGAGAACGGAAGCTGGAACGAAGACAAAGAGTGACTCACTGACTCACACAGCTGGGATTGTTTAGTTGTTGTGTAATTTTGTGCTGAATATATTTTCAGCTTTTTTCCTTACGCTGAAAACTTATCCTTAACAGCCATTTTGACTGAACAGTTCTGTATGGATGAGGCTTTTCCATAGTGCTGCACTCTGACGGATCTCAGGGGGATGAAACACACCTGATCCAGGTGGGACTTTATAAGTAGAGCTCCATAAAACAAAGTCAACACAAAGACACACACAGAAACTCCTGAGGAGCGCAGTGTCTTTCAGTGAAAGATCACCACCATATTTGACTGGACCCTCATGATGGCCGGCTCTACAGCTGGACGACGCATCCCTCCATCACGTGGGTGGATGAAAGGCGGATGATGAAAGGATGAGAGCACTTCTCTGTCGCCTAGGGCGACGCGTCGGACATCTGAGGGCTGGGGAGATGGAGAGGTTTTTCAATGACACACTGCGTTAGAAAGGGCAGAAACAGAGTGCAGAGTGGCTCTGCGGATCTGACCACCCCCAGAACATCACTCTGTCTGGTCATTCTGTGGGTTTCGGACAGATTTTTAATACGTGGGGTCCGCAAGACTCAGTGGAGCCAAAGATGTGGGAGTTAGACATGACAGGGAGGCATGACAGGCTGCTGGTTTTGACTTGAAGAAACAGATTATTAGGATAAGCACCGACGGCTGTAGGGGCTGGAATTAGAAATAAATCAAAATTAAAGCTGTAGACTCAGCTTTAAC